CCCCCCCCCCCCCCCCCCTTTTATCCGGCGAGGCAGATGCTGAAGTGGCGTGGTGCCGTGTTGAAATCGGAGGAGGATTTCGGGATTTCAGCTTCAATGATCGCTGGCCGGACTGGCATCTAGCTGCTAGCTAGCCTACCCAGTCGGAAGTCAGGAGCCTCTGATCCTCTACCGCACCCAGATCGTCGAAGAGAAGGCCCCTGTGGTCAAGGCAGGCAGCGAAGGGATGGCCCAACTGATACAAAGTAGGTGCCTTGATAATTACTGTGCCTATGCTATTGTGGGGGCTTACGATTATTATTACTAGTATTCGTATTCGTATTAGTATTAGTCTTAGTATCAGTATTAGTATTCGTATTCGCATTAGGTAGTAGCAATAGTAGTAGTATTAGTACTAGTATAATTATTTTTTTATTTTTATTATTACTATTAACTTTTACTGTTATTGTTATTCTTCTGATTATTAGCATTATTAGTATCATTATTATTATTATGAATCCTAGTATACTTCCAAACCCTACTCTACTTATTAAAACCCCTATAGCATTTCTGTAATATTCTCGCCTTCGTAGCGCACAGGGTCCAGGGCACGCGCGCCTAGCAATATGAAATCAAGCTGCACCTAACCAATCGGTTTAGGGTTTAGGGTTTAGGGGCCCAGCTGATAGCAAAGAGCCTGGGTTCAAAAAAGGCTAACCAAGGCAGAGGCAGTGTGCGCACACAGTCCCAAGGGATCTGCGTCGCAGAAATCTGCCGCACATGTTCAATGCAGTACAAGACCGAAAGCCCAAAGAGTACATAAACTAAAAACAAATAGGCGTGTGATATAACCAGAGGTCGAAAAAAGCTGTCCCACACGCACACACACACACAACAAAATCAAGTGTGTAGGCACATGGCAATGCATGAGAATGCTCGGAAGACAACGGGTGCATTGTATACCGTCATCAACCATCAAAGCACCAAACAAAGTACCATGCAAAATCGGACATAAGAAGTGCAGGATCTTCCACATGGGTACTGGGCGAGGCCATCCCTACACACCTTCATCGAGGTAATATCCGGGACATCATAACGAATGCAACAAAAGCAACGACGGTGCTCACCAAGCAGCAGTATGCAGGCTGTAGGACCTCCCACGCTCGAAGACAAATCGGGCTTGCATCATTCACTTGCTCAAGAACTGCTAGATCAGGAGAACAGTGCGGCAATTTGGCCGATATACTGTAATGTACCATAATATGCTGCTAATATACTACTACCATAACATGCTATAATGTACTATATAGAGTGTTATAATGTAGCAACTTCGCGCTGCTTTTTGGGGGAGGCCTTTTGCCGTACCCTCAGCCAGGAGCCGGTGCCTGTGACCAAGACTCCGAAGGGCAAGGCCTCCAGCAAAAGCAAGGCACCGCAGAATCGAGTTGTGTGCTGGGGTTCTGGTGATGCTGAGAAGGACCTGTAAAGAGGAGAGAGCAAGGGGCTGAGTTTTTTGCAGTTATAATATATACATACACATATACATACATACATATATATATATATATATTCACACATGGGTTGGGTTTCTGATGGTTATGCAGCTTCACTGCTTCCGGTACTCTGCTCCAAGTCTGATTCTACCCAACAGCTCGTTCCTTAAAGGGACATGTAGCCATGAAGAGCCCCTAAACCCTGACCCGAAAGCATAAACCGCGGGAGTGTCCGAGTGTGAGCGCCGAAACCCGGAACACATGCAGCCTCTGGCAGCGGAAAGCAACGAGCGAGAAACCCTGAACCCCAAAACCACATGGAGCTTCCTGTCTTCTCCCTTCTGCTCCGCAGTGAGAACAGGCCGGAAAGCTGGAAGTCTCGGAGAATTCGTGGGCCGCCCAGCAGCGTAAGCTAAAGCTATCGGAGGCACGTGGGACGTGGGAGGGCGGTTCTTGTCGTTTACGCTGTTGACTTGAAGAGTGCGACCGTGTTCTAAGTTGGGGGTGCTTAGGAATGTGGGTGGAGGGTTCGCGAGTCAGTGCCGGAGTGCAAGCAGAATTTGGTTGCAGCTGCGCGGAGCCCACATGTCCGTGCGAGGTGTCGCAAGACCCCTGTGAGCAAGTGGCACGGACTATCAAGTCTATTTTGAGCCTTGGATGCCGCAGAACATGTTGAGCCAAGCTAGACTCTGCATTTTGCATGGCTCGCACAGCTTGCGGCCGTAGGAACAAGCTAACGCTCGAGAAGTTCGCGGGCCTTTCCCAGCAACTTCTTCAGTGCGCCCTGGCCACACTCCTGGGAAGAAATACCTTCGCCGGGGCTCCGATTGTAAAGCCGCGCCTTCCCGAAGTTGAGCTCTACTCCATCTTACGACGACGGCAGACAGACGACGACTACTACACTGAAAGCAGTAATCCCCGTAGCTGTGAGATAGTGCTTATACGCGATGCTTTAAGAAGCCGAAGACCTTGAAGCACCAAGCGGCCTGTCAAGAAGTCGAGAAACTAAACCATCCCATGCCGATCATGTCTTCCGTTTCGGGGAGATCGATTCAGTCTGTTCCGCACCCCGAAGTTTCATTTAACTTCGGTCACATTCGCATACTTTTCCGAAAATCCTAGCCTGAAGAGTGCTCAGGGCATGGCCGTAGTTTTGCCGGGCGTGCGTTGGTTTCATCTCAACTTGGGAGTTACAGAACGGGCTGGCCTTCACGGCCTTCCGTTTGCATCAACCTCTCCGAACCCCTGTGTGGCTTTAAACCCTAATCAAAAAAACCTTGCCTTGTGCGAGTGTGCGAGCCTGCAATGCGCGCTCGTCCTTGCCCCGACACCCTAAGCTCTAAACCCTGTTGTCGCGTATGATTGATGCCGCCTCAGAATGCGCGAAAACCCTGTAGGCTCACAAGGTTTAGGGAGAGTGCCGTTCTTTGCCCAATGCAGCCTCAAGAGGAGGCCAACAGACTTGAGAAGCATCATGCATGAAGAGTGTTTTGTGGCTGTTGTCGCGGCATGACGTAGTCAAGTATGCAGTCCACCGAACCTGATGGGCCACCCGTGCTCGCCTTCGCATCTGGATCAGCCTCGCCTGCATTGTCCGAGTCGCGAGAGTCCAAACTCTAGACTCTAATATACGGGCCTTAATCTTAATACTTACCCATACTATTTTGGGCGTTCCTTATGATAATTATGGTATGATTGACCCCAACGGCCCCAAAACCCTATTCTAGTCATTAAGGCCCCTATATGAAACCGGCCTTTGGAAGTCTGCAATGGTGCCCAGGCGGCCTTCGTACCTCCACGCATGTGGAGGTATTGATCCACGAGGTCTTCGAGAAGGCCGGGTCAGAGTTGCTGGTCAGTGTTCAGGCTACCAGAGTTAGTATGGTTAGCAGTGTTGCCTGGACACGTGTTCTCAGTATATGTATGGTTGCTAGAGTTGACGCACGTTGTTGGTCTTGTTCTGATTCTTAGTTGCTGTCATCCTTGTCGTCAAGAATGCTGTCGTGCCGACGCCCCGTTTGTGCCCTACATGCCATGTCACGGGATGCATTATTCTGGCCCAGGCAACGATGCAGCACCATTTCATCGACATGTACACAGTCCCTAGCTCGGCAAGAGGTTAAGAAGCTGGGAAAGGAAGTAGCTCAGGAGCATTGAAAGAAATAAGCATGTCACAAACGCACAGAATCTGCATGGCGAGAAGTCTCCCTGTCTGCCTGTCTCTTGGTTTGTCTGTATGCCACGGAAAGAAGTCCAGCTGAGGATCTTTGCGTGCTTCTGCACGAGCACTTTACAGCGCAACCGTTCGAGGATTGCTCTGGCAAGGCTGGCGGGCAATGCCGGCCTTCAATTCCTGCGATTCGCCCTAGGCCTTAGACGCCCGGAGCTCGAAACCAAAGCCCTTAAATGCTTAAGAGCCCGAAAAGCCCTTCAAGCCCCTTACAGGCAAAAAGCCTGACAAGCCCCTAAGCCCTAAGCCTATCGAAAAACCCTCAGAAGCCGAAAGGTCGGAGCAAAGTCCGAGCTTTGCATCATGTGCATAGAATCATGTGCGCGTGTATGTAACTGTATGTATGTGTGAAGTAGGATGTAAGCTCCAAGCTCCGATAGCAGTGTTTCGCCTTTTAGCAGCCAGGCAGACGGGCGTAAGATGACCTTCAAGAGACTGCTGCTGGACGAGTGCCAGACTCCCGGCAGCAGTCCCGCGCCCGCTGACATGAGCACGACTTCCAACTCCTGAGGCTCCCATGCTCAGGAGACTGCGTCAGTGCTTCCCTTATCTTAGCGATTATCCGACAATCCGAATGCCGTAGATCAAGACATGTTGAAAGCTCGAAACCCTCAAGCCCCGGAGAAACCCTGCAACCCTAAACCATCGGACGGCAGACCCTCTCACTACACAGGCGCCCATAGCCCATAGTTCTTCAATGAAGCCCTAAGACCCAGAAAAAGCGCCTTCACATCACAGCAATCGAGGATGTCTTTCGAGCGCCTGCTGTCGCCACCTGAAGGCCTCGAGCTCCTGGCAGCAGAGGACATGAGGGACACATAACAGGAAGGAAGGGTTACAGGATCGAAACGTGCCGAGCGGTGTGGTTTCTCGGATCTACGGGCGATCCTCAAGTTCAGCATCGTAGGATGGCGGGATGCGCAACGGTCGGCTTTGTCACATATATATATATATACATATTATATCATATGTATACAGATAGATAGATGTACATCTCTGCGCTTGCGGTATAGCGTCCCCGGTGATTTCTGCTCTAGGATGCCCGAAGTAAGAGTTGAGGTCTGGGCCTGCCTAAGGTAGGACGGGATTGATTTACTTCATCATACTAGTGTATAATAGTATAGTACTATAAAAGTATATATATATATACATATATATATATATATATAGTGTATTATAGCAGGTTCACTGAAGCACCGAGGCTGGGTTGTCATGGCATGGATGTAGGAGAGGGGTAGAAGCGATACTGCTCGTACAGGTACTTTTGTCCCGGCAGCCATCTCTGTACTCTTGAGAGTTTCCGGTAAAAAACACAAGATAAGAATGTACCCCTAAACCCTAAAGCCTAAACCCTAAACCCTACAGCCTAAACCCTAAACCCTAAACCCCTAAACCCTATACTATCACATGATCTTGTATAGTATAGCTCTGCATGGTGTGAGGACCGCACGGCGGCCGAGGCAAGGCCGAATGCCAGCTGCTGCCGTTCGGGGATTCAGTATTAATATAGTATAGTATAGTATAGTATAGTATAGTATAGTATAGTATAGTATAGTGTAGTAGAGTAGAGTAGAGTAGAGTACAGTAAGTGAAGTATAGTATAGTATCGTATAGTATAGTATAGTATCGTATAGTATAGTATAGTATAGTACGTCATGTTTGCATGGGATGTGCTGAGGAGGTCGCATCCTTTGGGTTTGCTGGAGTCTTGCTCGGGCCACATTGGAAGAAGTTGGCATCACGCACATATCGTTTGTCAGGTCCGCTACAAAACAAGCATGCTGGGCAACATCCGCCTCGTGGGTGGCCTCCTCTCGCGTGGCATGCTTGCCAGCCGGGCCTTCTGGCAGATGCATTGATCCAGCTGTTGAACATTGAAGGGTCATTTGTAGATTCGGCATCCACCAGCCATGCGCGCAGTGGAGCTCCCTGACCCTCTTGAGGTGGTCTGTTTCCCAACGGGAGCCGCATTTTGCTTAAGCTGTTGGTTTTTGGCCGGGCCAGGGGATGTCGGGGATGGTTGCGTGTCAGCGCATGCAACCTGTAAGCTCGAAGGTCAGCAGTTAGATGCATCTGCATCTTCCCTACAGGCAGACACATGAGTATGTAAGGTCGGCATCGCCATCCTTGAGGACACCCGGAGCAGCAAGCCGTGGCTTCGGGAGTGTGGATGTGTAGCTCGTGTCATGGGTCTTTAACAATGAAGAATCCCATAAAGCTTACACCTCGTGTCAGTTTGTGCGTTAACTGCGAATCAAGCTAAGTGATTCTGACACTCCCTGCAAGACTCATTCCTTGCTTCCGCTAACTTGCCAATATGTCCTGCGTACCATTTTTGCCTGTCATGTGGTTTGTGACCCATGTGTGCATGGCACCAGACTCACTTGGAGCATCTGCGGATGACTGGCAGGGGTGCATTTCCTGGAATGGGGTGTTCTTCGGGGCGAAAGGTGCTGCTTGCGACTCTGAGCCAGTTTGGATCTGGCAAGCGTCCTTTCGCTGACACTGCCCTTCTGCGCAGCAAGACTTTCCCTGGCTAGGTATAATTAAGAGTCATCAAAGGGAGAGCGGTCACTGTTCCCTTACAGACCACGACTGTTGTTGTTATCAGTCGTATCACTACGACGACGACTACTACTGGTACTACTGACAACAAAACCTTCGACGACGACGACTCCTGCCTCCGTGCTGATGCTTGGGCTGCTGCTGAAACTACTACTACTGCCAGTGCCAGTGCCAGTACCAGTACTAGTACGAGTACGAGTACTAGTATTGCTGCTGCTGCTACTTCTACTTCTACTACTCCTACTGCTACTCCTACTCCCACTCCTACTCCTCCTACTCCTCCCCCTGCTCCTACTCCAACTCCAACTCCTGCTCCTACTGCTACTGCTACTGCTACTGCTACTGCCACTGCTACTACTGCTACTGCTACTGCTGCTACTGCTACTACTACTACTACTACTACCACTACTACTACTACTACTACTACTACTACTA